CCCTTGACCAGAATCAAACCCGTGACTCTTCAGTCCACAGGCCAATGCTCTATCCGCTGAGCCAAACTGGCCTGGGTGCTCTCATTCCTAGTCTTAAATTCTTTTTTAATTTATTGAATTTTTAATTTATTTTTATTTTATTTAAAAATGTGTTTTTATTGAGTTTTAGAGAGATAGGAAGGGTGAGGAATAGGGAGAGAGAAACATCCATTGGCTGCCTCCTGCATGGCCTCCACCAGGGATTGAGCCCTCAACCCAGGCATGTGCCCTGACCGAGAATCAAACGTGATCTCTTGGTGCATGGGTCATGCTCAACCACTGAGCAACACTGGATGGGCTTCTTTTTTTTTGAGAGAGAGAGAGAAAGGGAGAGAGAAAAATGTCTTTTTTGTTGTTCCACTTATTCATGCAGTCATTGGTTGCTTCTTGTATGTGTCCTGACCAGATATGGAACCACTAACTGAACTGCCTGGCTAGGGCCTCATTCTTAGTCGTTATTGCTTATTTTCTCAAAAGAATTTTTTCTTATATAAGTTTAGTAAGTTCCTGACAAATGGTAGTGTTGCATCTTCTCCAAACTCAAACTTGAGAAGGGTGAGACAGAGTCTTTGCTAAGTTTGACAAGCACTTGGCTTTCAAATGCTTTATAGTCCAATACTGAAAATGTTGGATTTGCATAGCCCTGGATTTGCTCAGCTTCAAATTAAAATTTACTTTCAAATTATCTCACATTTTATCAGCACAGCTGGAACTGAAACTAAGTTCCATACAGGAAACTAGTTCTCTGACTAAAGAATTATTCAGCCCTAGCTGATTTCGCTCAGTGGATAGAGCATTGGCCTGCAGACTGAAGGGTTCTGGTTTTGATTCTGATTAAGGGCACATGCCCAGGTTGCAGGCTCGACCCCCCATAGGGGGCATGCAGGAGGCAGCCGATCAATGGCTCTAATCATGATGTTTCTATCTCTTCCTCTCCCTTCCTCTCTGAAATCAATAAAAAAATATTTTTTTAAAAAGTAAACTCATGCCTTGTTTTGAAGGAAACTACTGGATCGAACAAAGGTCCGATAGATCTTTATGTTTGGGGTATTCTTAAATTTCCAATCAACTTTTAAATATGAGTTGGCCTTGACACAAAATTACTGAAAATTATTAGCCTTGTCTAAATAGTCCTTGCTTAAAACAAAACCCCAGAATCCTTACCGAGCAGCTTTTGGTTCAGTGTGTACATTCCCCAGTACACATGATCATATCAAATCACCTAGTTTTTTTTAACAAAAGCTGCTGGGGTGGGGACATGTGTCATTTCCTGCCCTTCCCAGGGCTGGTTATGGATAGAGTTTATTACAGTTCGCTCTGAACCAGGAGAAAGTTTATTTTTTAAAAAAATGTTTATTGTTGACAGTATTACAGATGTTCCCCTTCCCCCCCCTTGCTTCCTCTACCCAGTTCCCACTTCACCCCACCCCTTCACTGCCCTACTGTCTTGTCTCCATAGGTAAGATCTTTGGTTAATCTCTTCCCACACCCCTCCCCCCTTCCCTCTGAGATTCATCAGTGTTCCATGCTTCCTTGCCTCTGATTCTATTTTATTCACCAGTTTATTTTGTTCATTAGACTCCTTTTTTTTAGTAATTTTTATTGATGTTTAGAGAGAGGAAGGAAGATGGAAAGAGAAACATGGATGTGAAAGCCTAACATCTATTGGCTGCCTCCTGTATGCCCCCTACTGGGGACTGAGCTGAAATCTGGCCATGTGCCCTGACTGAACCAGCAACATTTCAGTCAATCAACTGAGCCACATGGGCCAAGGCTGCCCATTTTTAATTGGATTATTGGCTTTTTTTGTGTCATTAGACTTCTTGTTTATTTTTATTTTTAGATTCAATTATAAATATATGTTTGTTGCCATTTTATTCTTATTTTTTATCTCTTCTTAAAGAATACCCTTCAACATTTCATGTAATACTGGTTTGCTGGTGAACTCCTTTAGCTTTTTCTTGTTTGTGAAGCTTTTTATCTGGCCCTCAATTCTAAATGAGAGCTTTGCTGAGTAGAGTAATCTTACTATTCATTATTTTGAATATCATATTGGCCCACAGAAAGAACCTGGATCCCTGTTAGTTTCAGTGACCCTTTGCCAGAGTTAGCTCTGAAGGCTGCCCCCCACCTTTGAACTTCCCTTTAAGTGAACTAATACATTTTCTTAATGTTTAGGCCACTTTGAATTGGGTTTCCTGTACTTGTGGCCAAAATCACCCTGAGTTCCAAGTTACTCTTACAATCATTTTGTTATATCTTGTTCCTAGTTTTAAAACTATTACGTAGGGGAAAATACTATATACATGCCATGATTGCAATAATAAGATAGTTAAATTGGAAGGAGATGTGCCAAAATGATTGATGTTTAGACAATCATTAGATGGGTACTTTTCCTATTCTATGAACTTATTATTTTACATGTTTTCTATAATGATCCTGAGTGACGTTATCAGGGAAAAAATGCACAGGAAATAAGATTGGAAAACAAAACGGTTGTTTAGGTTTTGGAATCGATTGATTTTTCCCCTCTTATTTTTCAATTCTCTTATGTTTATTATATTAGTTTTATAATTTGAAAATTTTTTTAGTTCCTTCACTGAAACTTCAAAGAGCAGGGACTTTTTCTCCTGCTTCCTTTCTCTCTACCCCAAGCATGTACACAGGGAGGACCATTAAGAGAAAATACGAAAACTGAATCATTCCAGACTTTAAGGCAGGCTCAGAAATCCACAAAAGCACTTGCAGTGGTCATATCGCCCCAGTATATGACCCTTGAGTCTTGCATTAACCTATGTTTTTTCTTTTTCTAAATCTTTATTGTTGAAAGTACCTATGCTTTTTTTCGTTCAGAGCATTTATCAGTTTGCATGTATACATTTGTTATTTTGATTAATGCTTCTCCTCTGCTAAGCTTCATAAGAATAGGACTCTTGCTTATCAATATGCTGTATCCGCAGTATGTGGCATATGGTAGACAATAAGTAAATAGCTGTTGATTAATGAATGAGTGAGTGAACCAACTCAGCCAGTCTAGGCATTGCTTTTGGAATAAATGTTCCCAATTACAAGGGCAGAGTAATTCTCAGCACTCAAAACCAGCATCTCTCCCCCTGGTGGTTATGGTCTTAGAAATTACATTTTGAAGGGAAAGCAAATGACTAGAAAAAGTACTAGGACAAACAGTAAACCAAGTCACCTATCAAGCGAGAGTCTCTAGGACAGGAGTCTGGAATGTGCATTTTCTCCACAAGTGCGCCGATGATTCTGAATCAGGTGGCCTGAGGCCCACACTTTGAAAACAGACCCTGGAACATCCTATTAGAATCTGAGTATTCACTTCATTCGTCGTCATCCGGCTTCCAAGAGAACCATGCTGACATCACTGTTTCTATTTAATGGGAGTCGGTTTTTATTTTGCACTTGTGCGGTGCATTAACAAATTCAACATACAAGATAGCATTACATATTGTAGGTTAGCGTTACGGCATTATGCAATTTCACACGATTCATGTTAGCGTTTTCAGATTTTTTTTTTTAATTTGACACGTTTATTTTATTCTTGAGTTTCATTTTTACAAGAGAAGACACAAGGTAAAGAAAGACAACCACACTGGAGAAGGATCATGGTGAGGGAAATGTCACTATCATGGCCATCATAAAAGCCTTCCAAGAAAAAGGACTTGCATTATCCCCTCTCCTGAGCAAGCTGCCCCTGTCCCGCAAACCAGTTCTGTTTTCATACCTAGAGCACTGTTTCTAAGCATGTCCCTCTTGGCTGTGCTCCACTGAGAACTGAAAGAAGGAATAACTCATAAAGGGACTTTTGTTATTAGGAGAAACCCTTGTCTTCCCAAAGGAATCAAGATATCAGCAGAGAAGAACTGACTCTTGGAAAATCCGAAGTGACCATTCCCTAACCTATTCCTGACCGTGAGTGCCTTGTGCAAAAAGTAGGCTGTGACTCTCTTGTCTTTCAACTGACTCTTAGGAAGAGGCATGCCTCTCCCACCCTCATCAGTTAGCTCTGGGAGGAACAAACGTGAAAGCCCAAGTCACTTAAGAAACTTTGGGACAGCAAAGTCAAGGGCACGATGGGTCAGGCCTGAGGTAGGAGGGAGGAAACCTGTACTTCCTTTTGGCCTTTTTTTCTGAGAAAAACACCGAGGCAGCTCATAGGCTACAGAACTACTGGTTCCTCCCCTGTCACCTCACTACCCACTACTCAGTAGACCCAACGAGTTCAAGGAATAAAGCTGCAAGGAGATGGGAAAGAGAAAAGTGGGGTGAGGCTGTTTTCCCATTCTTAGACCAGGAGGAGCTACGGAGGCACACACAGCAGGGCAAAGATCAGACTGTCTCCACCTCTTCTTTGCATTGTTTCTGGGAAGGAAACAAAAATGGATTGCTCAGCAATTTCTGATCTTCAGACATTAAGGCGATGAAGAGGAATCATTTAAAATTTTTTCCTAATGGGGTTTCAGAATGCTCTCGTTAGATTTACATTAAACTATCTCAAAATGCCATTTTTTAGAAAACAAAAATTATTTTCTTCTACGTATGATACAGTATGTACATTCCATGGAGTATAGGACAGAGAGTGGTGGTGTGAACCCAACTGATGGTTGAGAGAGTGAGTCAGATTGTAGTGGGTGGGAGCTGACAGGGACAAGAACAGAGAGGGCTTTGTGCCTGCTCAGTACTGCTCCGCCTTGCCAAGAATCAAGGTTAAAAAAGACAACAACCAGCCGAAACCGGTTTGGCTCGGTGGATGGAGCGTCGGCCTGCGGACTGAAGGGTCCTGGGTTCGGTTCCTGTCAGGGGCATGTGCCTGGGTTGCGGGCACATCCCCCAGTGGGGGATGTGCAGGAGGCGGCTGATCGATGTTTCTCTCTCATCGATGTTTCTAGCTCTCTATCTCCCTTCCTCTCTGTAAAAAATCGATAAAATATATTAAAAAAAAAAAAAAGACAACAACCAAAGGATTGGGGAGGAGCAGATAGGTTTTAAATCCACAAGAGCTAAGGGAACATCAAAGGCAACATCACCACTCTCCATAGCGACTCAGCTTTTTAACTCCCTTCTCAGAAGTAAGTTAGAAAGTGATGTTCTCGCATGGAAGTGGGCCTTCAATTTTAGCTAATCCCTCAGGCCATCCTTCAAGCTGCTGCTTGAGTTCCTCCCCGAAGAGTTCCTCTTCAGGCTAGCAAAAATATCAACTGCCTATCCAAGCATACTTATTGTCAGTGAAGTCTCTGCCACCATGAGAAGTCTCAACATTAGAGACGTGGCTGGACTAGGGGTAAAAAGAGACTTGAATTCTAATCCCAGCAGGATGCTGAATGCTCTCAACCTCTGTGCCCACTGGCAGAAGGAGGGCTGAACTCGGTGGTTCCCCTCATCCGTTCCAAGAACCAAGCACTTTGTTTTGAGGGAAAAGATGTCCTGAAAGAATCCAAGTTACCTTTATGACTCAGTCTCACTGCTATTTTTAAGAGTCATTGCTAAAAAATTTAAGGAGAATAATTTTTGAGGCCCTTTGCCTTACAAAGCAAAACTAACCACTAGCCACACCTAAGCTACTTGAGAAGACTCTAAAGCTTCTTCTCAAGGGTCAGCATTTCTGGAAAAACAAAGGCCGATTTAATCCTTCCAACATCTGATGATTTCTAACCCGTCAACCAGAAATAGCTGTCGCTTCCATATCCAGCTGGGAAAGGGAGGTCACAGCCATCTCATTTCTCCTCTCCTTGTCCTCATACCTGCAAATAGCGTTTGGGATCAGCAGGATGTGTTCACTGGTACTATCCTATAGCTGAAGCTGGGGTTTCCAAAGCTCTCATTAGAGACATCATCTTGTTTTGTCAACCCAGTGCTGCCTCATGAGTCTCATGTGTCCTTGTGCTTCATCACAATTTAATCAGAGGCTGCCGTCTACCCCTTCATAGCAGGAGAGCTGACAGCAAAAACGCCCCATCTCTCAAACAGTCTTTCTCCTGAAAACCCGGCCTAATCCAGTCCACCTTTGTTTCTTGGCTTACTACGGACCTCTGACCTGGAGCTCAATAAAAGAGCAGAGATGTCAGAGGTAATAGGAAGAAAAGATGGGGACAATGAAAATATGAGGTTTTACAAGAGCAAAATATTCTTTGCGGAGGTGGGGAGAGTAACTGCTCAGAGAAGCCCAATAAAAAGAGGCCAATTTCAGGTAATCAGCAAATACAGTTCGGCACAAAACACAGTTTTCATGGGTTAAAATCTGTCACTTGATATTGGCAGCTAGGCTAATTTCTTCAGTTTGTATTAGACATGCAAGGATAGGTTACATCGTTATATATAAACTTGTAGAGGTCTTTCCCTCTCTCTTTTTCCCCATTAAAAAAAAAAAAAAGAATTGCTAGTGCCTTGCCAAGGAGAGAAATCATCATCTCTACGAACTGATCTGCAGCTGTGGTCATGTGGGGTGTTCTTTGTCGGGTTTATTTTGTAAGAAATTTTCTTCTACAACTAAAGTGAGGTTTTGAGTCCGCTTCTCTCTGCCACCTCTTTCCCCACCATGTCCCTGCCCAGCCTGGCCCTGGGGTTGGAGGCGAGGGGCACAGGGTTAGTACTCGCTCAGGCTGTGCCACTTGGCCACAGGCTTGCGGGGGCTCTCGCAGACCTCTCGCCAGTGCTCGGCGCCACCGGCTGTGACACTGTGCGCCCCCAGGATCAGCCTCCCTACCACCTCGTTCTTGGTGGTGCGGTCAAAGTCGATGACGAGGAACTCAATGCTGATGTCGGGCAGGAGGTCGGTGGGGATGTCATAGATGAAAGACTCATTGAAGACTGGGTTCAAAGTGCACTTCTTCACGTGGGTTTTCTTCTTGGCAATGCGCTTTCTGCCGTAGAAGACGTTCACCTTGACGTAAGGATCTGGGGCCGCCGAAGAGGTAAAACGGAAAAAGGAAGACAGGCCTATGACACAGTCCTCTCCTCTGTAATGGTGGTTTCATGCTGGGGAGAGGGGGTTCTGCTGTCCATCTCTTTGGTGGCCACCCCTACGTGGTCTTAGTGACAGGACAATCAATGCCTGGAGCAAGGACTCAGCACCTGGCATGGGCTCCTGCTGGGGCATCTCACCAAAGGTCAAGGTCCCATTTGGCTAGGAAAATCTATAACCTAGATAGTCCCCAGGAAGAGAAAGGAGACACAGAGAGGAACGCATGTAAAGCGACAGGTATGAGGGGTCCTGACGTGTGTGTGTGTGTGTGTGTGTGTGTGTGTGTGTGTGTAGGGCAGGTATCTGGGCCTCAGGCAAGAGGAGGGGGTGTCATTCAGACACTTAGAAGTAGGTTGGAGTAAATAGCTGCTACCTGAGAGCCCGGTGATATCCATCTTCGGCAGGTGTCTGGCTTTGAGGACCACCACCGTCATCCTCTGTGCCACAGGCTGGTACGACAGGGACACCTGGAGCTCCCCTCTGCTAATGCACTTCTGTGAAGAAAAGCGGCACGTGAGAATCCTGGCAGGGGAGCCGGGCACGGCACGGAAAGTGTGCCGGGGAGAGGGAAGGGAGGCTGGGGAGGAACACAGGGAGGAGAAGGCTGCACGGCAGGTGCCCATCCCCCAAGAAGGGGTAAGAGGAGATGTTCTCCTTATCATCCGGATGCTAAATAAGATCATTTGCATGGAGAGGCAGCACAGCCCCGCTCTTAAGGGCCCAGACTCTGAGGCCAACCTGGCCCGCGTTCAGATGGGCTACTTGTCGTCTGTATGGCTTGGGACCACTTACTTGACATCTCTGGAGTACTTCAGTGTCCTCACCTAGCAGATGGAGATAAAAATAGCACCTAAAGGCCTGGCCGGGTGGCTCGGTTGGTTAGAGTGTCGTCCTGAGACACCAAGGTTGCGGGTTTGATCCCCAGTCAGGGCACATGCAAGAAGCAACCAATGAGCCCTAACCGGTTTGGCTCAGTGGATAGAGCATCAGCCTGCGGAGTGAAGGGTCCCGGGTTCGATTCTGGTCAAGGGCATGGACCTGGGTTGTGGGCACGTCCCCAGTAGGGGGGTGCAGGGGCGTGCTGATGGATGTTTCTAACTCTATCTCTCTCCCTTCCTCTCTGTAAAAAATCAATAAAATATATTTTTTTTAAAAAAAGCAACCAATGAATTCACAACTAAGTGGAACAAGAAATTTATGTCTCTCATTAGTAAATAAAATATTTTTTAAAATGGTACCTCATTCAGAGGATTATTAAAAGGATTAAATAAGTTAAATTTTGTGACACCACAGGGCCTGGAGTACAGTGTGCGCGACAAAAGTGTATTCTCTCCTATTTCCTCATTTGGTTCTTGTGATAAACACGTATACTGGGAGGCAGGACACTTGGATCTGAGCCTTCACTTTGCCGCTTCCGCAGCACCTGGCCTTGGGCAAGTCCCTGGCCTTTCGGAGCCTGCGCTCCTCCACGCCACAGGGTGGACAGCCGCACCTGCCCCGCCTGCCTCAGTCCTGCACTTCAGGTGTCCTCTCCAGTCGTCGCTCTCTTCCCTGGGCCAACATCTTTGCCTCTCCATCTGTAAAGTGTCTTCTAGGCTTCACTGTGAACTTGGGAAAAACCGCTAGTCCTCCGAGAACATTTTACACCCCTGGCTCACTACTTTCTGGTGCCGGGGGCCACAGCTGCCCGGACCCAGCTGCTCCCAAGGAGCTCACTGTGCATAGAAGAGACACAGATGGAGTAAACAGAGAAGTAAGAAGCCTGTCTAAGCGCTGCTGGGAGACTCAGGAAGGCGCTGCCAGTTGACATCTGGGCTGAGTTACGGAGGGTGAGTAAGAGGCCATGAGACAATGGGCAGAGAGAAGCTCACATCAGGCAGAGTGGCAGGAGTGGCTGGCACCAAGGCACTGGGCCCTGAAAGGGCACACTGTGTTCAGAGGATGGTGAGAAGCGCATGTTCCTGATGTTGGGGTGCCTGGCAGGAGGGATGAGTCAGGAACCCGGAGAGGTGGGTGAGGTGAGGGTAAAGAGCAGTGGGGCAGTCTCGCCAACCAGCAGAGTCACCACCGGGCAAGGTGAGGTCTGTAGGTATAGGAGTGACAGAGTTATGATGGTTGTTTTTAGTATTTCATTAATAATATTATTATTCTGGTGAGAGCTGAAAAATGGAGAAGGACCAAAGTCAGAAAGCTCAGTTAAGAGCTGCTGCAATAGGCGAAGGAAGAAATGATGAGGCCTGGAGCCAGGGCTAGAGCAGAGGGGTTGGACAGGGGGGTAAGCTATGTCTCACGGAGAATTGCCAGGATGTTCTAGGTGTGGGTGGCTAATTAGATGTAAATGTCGGGGAGAGGGGAGAGGTGGAGGAATATTTGTTTGTTGGTTTTGTCTTGTTGGAGGACTGTTTCTTAAGTTTCTAGCTTAGAAAGTGGGGCTGAGGCTGAGATAAAGAAAACAAAAGGAGGTAGAATTTGAGGAATTTAAGACACAAGTTAAATCTGAGACAAAATCATTCCTCCACTATCAAATCAACATATATGTGTGTGTGTGTGTGTGTGTGTGTGTGTATTAACATGTATATCTTATTATTATTATTTTATCCTTACCCAAGGATATGTTTGTTTGTTTTTTAATCAATTTCAGAGAGTGAGGAAGGGAGAGAAAAACATCAATTGGTTGCCTCCTGTACGTGCCCTGATCAGGGATTGAACCTGCAACCTGGGTATGGGTGCCCTGACTGGGAATCAAACCCGCAACCTTTTGGTATATGGATGATACTCCAACTGAACCACCCAGGCCAGGGCCTACTATCAAATCTTATTCCTTGTATTATTCATAGTCCCAAAGAAATGTCACCTATTTCAGGAATTTTTCTTAGATTGAGCAAAAATAGACTATTTTCACTACCAGCCTTACATGTCCATCAAATGATTCATTGTGCACTTACTAAGTGCCAGGAACTCTGCCAGCAGCTAGGGCTGAAAAAACAGACAATGAAGAGTCCTACCCTCAAAAAGCTACAGGCTAGCCCTAGCCGGTTTGGCTCAGTGGATAGAGTGTCCGCCTGCGGACTAAAGGGTCCCAGGTTCGATTCCGGCCAAGGGCACATGCCCGGGTTGCGAGCTCGATCCCCAGTAGGGACGTGAAGGAGGCAGCCAATCAATGATTCTCTCTTATCATTGATGTTTCTATCTCTCTCTCCCTCTTCCTTCCTCTCTGAAATTAATAAAGAAATATATTAAAAAAAAAAAGCTACAAGCTAGTGCTCTGTCAGATGTGTCTACAGGAAAGGACAACAGCAGTAATTTAACCAGCTTATCAATGAAAAACAAGGGGGAAAACCTAATAGTTTATGTTTTGATTATAAGCCTTATGTTATCTCAAGGAATAAAATTGTGATAATAAGGAATTCGATTATTTCATGTGGTTTAAAAAATTTCTCAAGACAATGTTTCATACCAGGTGCATATGAAAATGTCTCTCATAGGGCATAGAATATGACTAACTAAAATTTAATTTTGAAACTGAAGTACAAAAGAGAATAGACTTTAAAAAAGATGTGATAGCTTTTCTCTACTAGATTGAAGTCTCCCATTTTTTCCTTGCCCATAACATACATATTGTCTGGTTTCGATGATACCCACAGGAAGTACCCTCAGCCCGTTTAAAGTCACAGGCTGGTTGCCCTTGCCAACCAGTATACCTCTGGGCTGCTTCTTTTGGACACAAATCAGAATACAACCAGAGAATGTAAACGCCTTTTTACTCCTATTACCCACAGCCAAATGGCATTAGGAAATTAATCCCCATGAGAAAGAAAATCAAATGCCTTCCAAAACATTTCAGAACTGAGCTATCCAATACAGTAGCCACTAGCTACATGTGTCTATTGAAATTATAATCCATTAACAGTTTAGTTCCTCAGTCACAGGAGCCATATTTCAAATGGTCAACAGCCATGTGTGGCTACCACATTGGACAGAGCAGATGGAGAACAGTTCCAGCATCACAGAAAGTCCCAGCAGCCAGAGCTGATCTAGAAAGCAAGAACCTTTGGATTATTTGGGCCATTGCTCTCCTCCGTTTCCACGAATAATGAAATGTTAAATAGATTTGATATCTATTTCTGGGGCCATCTTGAATACTGGTATCTAAATATTAAATATGCAATCTTTCAATATAATTCTAACTTTATATACAGAAGAAGGATATGTGGGGTTAAAGGGATATTTGATTTAAAAAAATAACACAGAATTTTAGCCCTGGCTGGTGTGGCTCAGTTGGTTGAAGCATTGTCCCATACGCCAAAAGGTGGCAGGTTCAATTCCCGGTCAGGTCAGGGCACACACCCAGGTTGCAGGTTCAATCCCTGGTCAGGGCACTTGTGGGAGGCAACTGACCAGTATTTCTCTCTCACGTTGATGTTTCTTCCCCTCCCACCCCCCACCTCTCTCTCAAATTCAATCAATAAAAAAAAAACCTGCCACTAACTACAGTATTATAGTTTAGGTTTCCTGAATATTTGTTTAAAACTGTTTCCTAAATCATTCATTATAGCAAAATCTCCCTAATCTAAACCTCCATGTCCCTTCCCTAGGTCTTTGAGAAAGTAGACAACTTCTGGTTCCCCTTTTAATATTTTTCTCCCCTAAAATCACTCCTCGGGCAACTGTTTTCCTTCTGGCCGCCCTCACCTTTGTCATTTTACCTGGGCAGACTGCCAGTGCCCATTCAGCTGCCCCTTTGTGATGCCCAAGTCTGCAGCCGCAGCACTACCTGAATGCCATTCCATTCTGTATCGAAGAACAGTTTTACGTCCCCTCATTCTCCTCCCCTTCTTTTCCCACCCAATCCCATTCCAAGTAGCATTGCCAATGGCTCTTTTTCAAAGGCTCTTTGTCAAGGGCTGGGAGCGGGCTGTGTTTCCCAGTCCCGGGGCTTAATGAGGCAAAGACCCTGTTGTGGGGCAGACAAGCAGAAGGACAAGGGGGAGAAAGGGTTTTGTCTGTGCCTGACAGAGCTGGGAGGCTCTGCCCGCCCTCGGTGGGAGAGAGGACCAGGAGCATGGGTCCTGAAGCAGACGGACGGACACAGGAACACTTGGGCGGGGGAGAAACCTATTTCCTCGAACTAGCAGAGCCCCTCCCTGGATGATCTGCTAGCCACACATCCACAATAAACCTTTCCTGGGGTGAGCAGTACGAAGGGCCACCTCCACATCAATCACAATCACGGGCAAACAAAAGAAACAAAACCCTTCATGTTCCTCCCTCTCCTCCTCCCCAGGACACATACAGAGCAACCTCCTTTATTGTTCCTGGGAAAGGGACAGTCCTTTTTCTTTCTCTCTTTTCAGTCCCTTTGGCTAGAATGGATGACCTCTAAGGTCCCCTGTAAATCTGAGATTTTAAGAATCCTTTCGTTAAGTGGCCATTGTCCCAGGTCATCAACACTGGATTGGACAGAGGAAAGGCAGGAAAACAATGACCTGAAGAAATTAGGAGTCTAACAACTCTCTGTTACCCACGCGGTAATTCTCTTTTCCCAGCGTCTCCTTTTTATTCTCCAGCCCTCTCTGCAGTGTCTCCCTTCTCCTTGTGGGGAATTTATCGTGGGAATATAAATGCACGGCAATTTCTATCTGAATAAAATACTAGGAAAAAAGCTGCTTGCCACTAAAAAAATAAAAAATCAAGTCCCAAAGTCCAACTCAGAGATTTTGGGTATTACAGAGTTTTTATCATGATCTCCTTTTACTCATCATAAAGAGTTCATTTTTCATGCTTCTTATATCCTTTTGTATGTTCATAAGAACCAAGAGTGCTCTCATAAAGTGATCCTAGTAAACTTCATGATCCAGTCTAGAGAGAGACTGAGGCCCAGAGATGTTAGCCACTTGCCCAGAATAAGGTAATGAAAGGGACAGAGTAAAAAGTGATGACCAGTCCTGGGCTTCTTCCACCGGACTGCACTGTATAATGGAAAGAACAAGAGATGAATTCTCTGCTAAAGGCCAGGAAATACAGTTAGTAGTGGGGAGCTATATAGAGAAACGCAATTCTCACCACCACGCAGGAATCTTTGGAGGGAGATAATTGGGCCCCATATTATAAAGGAAAGCTTTACACAGACCAAAACAAAAAAGCTCTTTACAGACAGCGTGGAGTCGGCCCGAGCAGCTCTAACTGATGAGCTCAGGGGAGACCCAGAAAGGGCAGACTCTTGGCTACGGTCGGGAGGATTTCGGGCAGGCATTGGAGGCTGCAGTGCTAGGGAATCACCAGGATGAGTGTTTAGCCAGATGAGTGGGGAATGACGGTCATGGCTCGGGTTGGAATACAGCCCTGCCCATGGTTACCGGTTGGGGAGAACACTGTTGGGAAGCCGGGCGGTGGGAAGGCTCTGGTGGGGGGTCGCACAGGCTCTGGATGTCCTGTGTGGGGCCTCTCCCAGGGAATGTGTTGCTAAGGATTGCAGCCCTGGCTTACCCCTCCCTGAGGGGAGTTAATAAAATAGGAAGAAATTGGGCTCATGCCAAGAGCGCCCCTGGACGTTTAGTAAATGCCCCCTGCCCAGTGTCCTGGATTAAAATTCAGGTCTGACTTCAAAGCCCTTGCTATTAACCACTTATATTTAATCCTGAAAAAAATAAATGAAACTCTGAGTTAAAATGTCAACAACTTCTTTCAAAGCACCTGCCAATATGGTAATTGCCAAAATTGTTTGTCTTTCCTCCACTAAAGTAAAAGCTCCCCTAGGGCACTGATATACCAGGGATATTATCTCATTTGAGCCACGTACTCCTGTAAGGAAGGTAATATTAGCTCCATTTTACATTGGGCGGAAAAAAAGCTTAGAAGGGTTTTCTCCCATGTCGCACAGCCGGAAAAGGGTGTGAGCTGGAACATGAAGTCAGGCAGTCCAACTCCAGAGCCTCAGGGCTTAACCATAGAACGGCATTGTTTCCCCAATTGTGGAGGAAGTGAAAGAACTAATGGAGGACAGGTACACATTTCTTGTACCCCTGAAATGACAGCTCAAGAGCCAATGCTAGCCCAGTGGGAGAGAAGGCTCTCCCCTCCCCATCCCCCCTTCTCACGCCAACAGAGAGGAGGAATAGAGAGAGAAATATCTGTAGCAAAGGTTTGGGCCTGGCTCAAGGGCTCAGAGGTGAAGCAATTCATTTAATCGCATTTACAAAATGGTTACTAAAAGACATCCAGACATGATACTATTTATACCCCTAGGTTTGGGCTGGGAAAGGAAAGCAGAGGGGGAAATGATTGAACCACTTTCAACGTTTCTCAGCTGTGAGAAATTTGCTAGAGGAAGATCACATATTATTTGTGTGTGTGTGTGTGGGGGGGGAATTAGCCCCTACACTACAGCTAAGCAGGCTGGGTGCAGTGTCAGGATACCAGCTACTAAGTGGAATTTCAGGAGCCACCTGTCTCTCTCTCCCCTGGAAGCTGCTTCCTCGAGGAGACCTTACCTGCCAGGCCCTCTGTCTTACTCTGACCATGGCTTATTCTTGGTAGGTGAGAGCTTCCGCCCCACAGTCCCCCTTTGCCACCCATTTCATCCCCTCCCCCTCCCCCTCCCATGTGTCCCCTAAGATCTTGTCTCCCCCAACCTACCATCCTCCCCCACCCACACTTCCTCCTCACCTGGATGTTCCTTTTGATGATGTCCCTGGTCAGCTGTACCTTGCCTGTGCTGGGGTCCACCCCAGCCAGCGGCACCATGACCTCCCCAATGACGTCGTCCCGAGAGAAGCGGTCAAAACTGAGAACGAGGAAGTGCAGCACCAGGTCCTGGAGCTGGCTGTAGGGGATGCCGTAGAAGGTGAAGGTCTCGTCAAACACAGGGTCCAGGGTCTTCCGCAGCACTCTGGTCTTCACCCGGTGCCGCTTGTCGGGAAGGATGGTCATTTTGATGTAGGGGTCAGAGCCCTGGGTCTGGTCGTCCATCACGGGCAGCCCGTGGGCCTCCTGGATCGTCACCACCAGGGCTTTTTTGGGGAAGTTATAGTCCACGGAGAAGGTGAGGGACCCCAGCATGACGTCCTCCTCGGGAGACGATGGAGAACTCGTTTTGCTCTCCCCGGGGGTTAGGCTTGCCATGGGGCTCCTCAGCTCTTCCCCATAGTCCACCTTGATGGGTAATTGGCCGAGACAAGATCCAGAGCTGGGTGGCCTGGGACCCTTGTCTCGGCCCAGCAGGCCGGCCTCTGCCGCACCCACCAACAGGTTCCCGTGTCCACCTTCCCTCCCGGGGCCATCTCTGTCTCTTCGCACTTTGATAATTTTCTTTTTGTTGCTGAGGGTCTCTGGGTATATGCTGATGCCTTTGAGCATATGGATAAACTTGTACGGTGGGTTCTTGTGCTTCCTCCCTGCCTGCTGGTGGCAGCATGTCCAGACAAACACGGTCACCGAGACACACACCACCAGTACAGAGGCCCCGAGAAGGCCTGCCACCACCGGCGACATATCTGAAGGTGAGAACAGAGATGCGTTAAGGCAGGTGGACCTCAACCCCCTTCCGGAGCTCTCCTACTTGGTGCCTCTGCTGGAGCCACGTTCCTCCCAACCGAGCCTCCAACACAAAATTTGCTCATCTGGGCTTGTGAACTTATCCCCTCCCTTGGCAATGCCCTCATCCATCCACTCAACCAAGCCACGGCCCTTCCTTCCCACCAAACCTGAGTGAAATGTTTACCTTCTCCAGAAAGACTTCCCTGAAGTCACCCAACTCCCTGTCATTGTCTTGGCCTTCCCTTAGCACTTAGGAACTTGGTTTGCTGATAATGATTGGTTTCACATAAACTGCCCTGTAAGTCTTGTAAGGTCACCTTTTTACACGGGAACCCATTCACCTCAACTGTTACACAAGGGCACAAGGCGTGTCTGGGCTCAGGAGGGTATTCCACTGCACCCCGGACAGGGTTTGTAAACAGTGGGACTGTGTTGACTTACTGGCAGGTAGGGTGAAAGGATGTGGGGTTGACTTCGGATCATTGTAGTAGGTTGCTCCAGGGTAGCAAAAGTGGGTGGGTGGTAATAAGAACAGTGGGTCTAAGTACTTTTTAAAATCTTCACCCGAGGTAATTTTCCCATTAATTTTTAGAGAGAGTGGAAGGGAATGAGGGAGGGTGAGAGCGAGAGAAACATCGATGTGAGAGAGACACATGAGTTGATTGCATCCTGCAGGTGCCCTGACTGGGGCAGGATTGAACCCGCAACCCAGGTACATACCCTTGATAGGGAATCGAACCTGAGACCCTTTGGAACCCGGGCTGATGCTCTAACCACTGAGAAAACCAGCCAGGGAGGGTTTAAGTACTTTTAAAATATGTTTCAAATTCCAGCTCCTAGGCATTTACAAATAGAAGAATTTTAGAAAGAGAAAAAGAGAGACTGTGGAAAAGTCAGATCTTTGCATTTAAAAGTGCAACCTTCTCCATCCCAAAGACCCACACTTCTTAGCCCTGCTTAATTTTCTCCATGTGTCTGCTTTTTCTTTCTCTCTCTCTCTCATACACACTCACATACACAAGAATATATATAGACACACATATAAATTTACTGTTGATTATCTATTTTCACTAGAATATAAGTTTCATGAAGACAGGGATTTTGTTTGTTTTGTTTATTTCTATAGCCCCAGCACTAAAGACACTTAATATATATATTTGTTGAATAAACAAGTAATTAAAGAGAAACAGATTTTTCCCTTCCCTTCCTCTAGTCTTACCTGTCTTTTCCCCACACAAGTTCGCCTCTGTCTTAGATAATTAGGTTTGGGGTTATTTCTCCTTTAAGTTCACTGAATCCAATTGGTCTAGATACAGCCTCTAGTTCTCTACATTACTTGACTTGCTTAAGTTTTTCAATTACATTCAATATTATTTTGTATTAATTTCAGGTGTACAACTTAGTGGTCCGACAATCATATACTTTACAAAGTGTTCCCCCTGATATTTCCAGTACCCAAATAGTACCATAAATAGATATTACAAAATTATTGACTATATTTCCTATGCTGTACCTTACATCCCCATTACTATTTTTGTAACTATCCCCATATTACTTTATGTTTTGCATATATATACTTATATATTGCATTTTAATAACATGTAATGTATATGTGTATACACACACACAAATTATAATCCTCTGTGGTAATCACAAATATTGAAACCCACTGTGCCATAATATGGTCCCTTGAATTTGAAATGTTATATAATTTTGTTTCAATAGAAGCAGAAACATAAACATAAACCCCACATTACTTTTTTAAGGAAAGATTTGGACAGGGAGAAATCAGAAAATAAGTGTGACTCCAGAATATTCCAGATTCTTCCTGGAGCATCCTTTCACCAGGTCTGCCGGGCTCTCTGCCTCTCACTGCAGACCTCTGTGCAAACTTCGTTATCAGAGAAGCATTTTCTGACTGCCCCGAGGGAGATAATATCCCTATTACCTGCTTTATTTTTTCTTCATAGTAGTTCTTACGCCCAACAATTTCTGTTTTTCTTCACCAGATATACTTAATAAGAATACCGAATTTCTGTCTGTTCACTGCTATATCCCCAGGTCCCAGAACCATGTGGCACCTAGTAAGTGTTCAGTGAACAAATGAGTTCGTAAATTCAAAACAGCCTCCACAGATTGGAAAAAGAGGGTGAGGTCAATATGATGACATATCTCAAGGAAAATTTAAAATTCTATTTGGTTTTTAAAACCTGTCAATAAGCAACGGGAGACCTTACTTGATGAGTCTGAGAAAAAATCAGGTGACCACAAGCGTGGAATATAATTAGGCTAGAGCCAACTTATACTTTGAATACGATGTCTGGATCACAGGAGGGTAGTATAATTTCATCTGCACTGGCCACAACACATATGGAGTGTTCTGTCTACTGTCTAGCACCGACAGGAATAAACACTGCTTTTTTTTTTGGTTGTACACTTTTTATGTCCCTGCCAGGCATTGAGCTAGAGCTTCCTCTCTTTGAATCAAAGGACTCATTAAGTAGGAACTATTAATATACTCACTTTACAATGGAGAGACCTGGGGGCTCAAATCTGCCCCAGGCCAAGTAATGGCAAATGGTAGTGATGGGATTTAAATACTGGTTTGCCTGACACCAAAGTGTCTTTACATTATGGATAATCAAGATGGTGAAAGATCTGGGAACCACATCCAATGAAGAAAAATGGAAGGATCTGAAGGAGCTGAGAGGTCTAGGAATAATAACTGTCTTCAATTATTTAAGATGCTGTGATGGAAGAAGGTGTGATTTGATTTGACTTTGGAAGGCAGGCCCAGCACCAGCACGTACAGGCTGTAGGAAGACAGATCTGACTCAATAAAAAGAGTCAAATTATTATTTCAACTGCCTCACAATAGCCCAGATTGCTTCATAAAGCAGTGAATCTATAATTGAAAACTTTCAGAGGTTGAATCACCACTCGTTAGGGATATTCTAAAAGGGATTTCTTCCATGGAGATTGTGCTAAATATCTTCAATGTTTTTTCTACTTCAGACATTCCATGGTTTCATGAAAGCTGGGACCAGGTAAGAAAAGAAGGGGTTAGTCCTGGCCAAGTAGCTTAGTTGGTTAGAGTTCAACCTGATACACCAAGGTTTTGAGTTTAATCCCCGGTCAGGGCACATACAAGAAGCAATCAATGAATGCATAAATAAATTGGACAACCAATCAATGTTCCTCTCTCTAAAATCAATAAAAATAAATTGTTAAAGAAAAGGAGGAGTTACATTCTAAAATAATATAGTTAAGGAATAAAGCCATTAACAAAATAAATCAAGGTGACCATGTCCATACCAAATAATAACAGGGTTTATTCACAGAGCATTAAGTGAAATGAGTTATTATGGAGAGAGTTTTCACAAAATGGGACAGCCTTGGTGTTCAGCTCCTTGAGAGCAAGCAGAAATGACATCCTGTTCATCTCTGAATCCCTGAGTCTCTTGCATCTAACACAAGGTCAGTAACTATTTATTTGAACAATTGATTGGTTTCAATTGTCAATCAAAATGGCACAAGCTAAAAAAAAAAATAAAAAAAAATGGCTCCCTATTCACCAAGAAGGGACTTTCCTGAAAATTGCTTGCTAATGATTAGTGAAACTGAACATTGATTGTCTCTGTGAGAAGGGGAAAGCAGGGAACTACCGAGACAGGTGTATTTTTGAGAGTGATTTGAAAGAGAGATCTAAAGGCCATGTTGGGAGGCGTTGGAGTGATCCTTTTGGCTCTACCTTAAATTTACTCTGTGATCCCAAGGGAACCCACTGTTGCTTCCCGTGCCATGGGTTTTACTGCTTGAAAATGCAGGTGGCGTGGGTAAGAAAGAAGATGAAGGATTCTTATCTTTCAGAAGGACAGAGAAGGAAAAGAAGAGAAACAGATCAACCCATTTATAAATCACCTACGTGCTTTTCTCCACCTTATTTCCCACCTTCGCCCTGCTTTTTTCTTAATTATTTGTCAACCTCTGCCTCTCTTTCCCACACTCAAGGCAGTTAATTAGGAAAATCGGGGATGTTGAGACTCAGAACCCTCTGTCTTGCTTTAGTCAAAAGGTTGGTGGGAAAAGGAAGTTGGAACTGATATCTGAAGTGAGTGCTTAAAGTAGCTGTAAATTGCAGTGACCTATGCCGCTTGCTCCCTTTGTACTCTAAGGTGGTGGATACTTGAGCGTTGGCTTGGTGTATCTCCCAAGGGCTAAGGCATTGGAAATGAAGTGCTCTAGGAGACATGAAAAAGTCAGAAGTAACGGTTCTTGTGTAGGAAACCCTCTGCAAGGGTTGAAAGGCCTGTGAGACACATCTGGGCTATGCCCACCTCTGTGAGTCCCTGACCAGACCTGCTTACTGACTTCCTGTACTAAACCAGCTTTTCCCTGTCAAATAGACCAGTGTGATACCGATATGACAACAAACTTTAGCATCAACCGGACATTGGCACTACCCTCACTATTTTGTGTAACTTTTATTTACTTTAGCTCCCTGAGCCTCAGTTTCCGCAGCTGGAAAAAGTATATATAATAATTCCTACATCAGAGGATATTTGTAAGGATTAAATAAAATGTAGTATGTAAAAGGCTGATAAAATTTAGTTTCTCTTTGCCACTAATATTCCTTCTAAAGGAAATCACACCATCTCACTTTCCAAGGAATTGGGAAATGCAATGAGAAAAAAAGAACATGTTGAAAAGAAGGCATAAGAAGAAAAAGAAAGAGCAGAAAGAAAATCATAGGGTGCTCATGCAATCTCCAATGAGACATCTATTTTAGAAATTGAGGACTCAAAGAATAGCAATGCAGAAGGTGAAGTGGAAGACAAAAACATCAAGATGTAGCCTTGAGAATCAGTGGGAACAAGTAGTAATTGGGTGTGATCTGTTGTCTAGATACTTTCCCTGATCCGATGTCTTCTGGATATTGAGAGAATGGAGCACACTGGGTTTTGCTCATTTCCATAAACCTCTCACTGGAGAGTGAGAAAAGCTACTTCCATGTTGGATTGTGGACCTACCCAAACCCTGGATGCTCAGAACTTCTGGATTGTCTGAGGGTTAGGATCTCTTAAGGGACATGAAGGAGCCCTTGGCGACAGCACTCTCACTGGCTGCTACCATCCAAACTGGGGTTAAGTAGAATTGAGGGAGACCCAGGGCAGTTCTTTTTTTTTTTTTTTTTCTTTTTGCACCAGGAAAACAGCACAGGTAGTTTGTTACCCTGGCATATTTTGGAGGAATTCCCTAGGAGGAAAAACTTGTTTCTCGAGCTTTTATTTCCCATTTTTTCTATTTTCCACTCCACTCTCTGCTCCAAGGAATGTAACAGATCTTGGAGCCGCGCCGAGATGACGTAATGCTTTCTCTGGTACACAAAGCGGCCTCCCCCGGGCTGGGCCTCTCACGCCCCTCCCCCTCCGGCCTGGGTCGGGCCCCCACCAGCTCCAGCACTAGCGCGGGTGAGTCCCCCTGTTTGAAAAGCCAGCCCAGAGAATGGGGAACAAAAGGCCTGGGAGGAAGCGCCTGGGCACTGCCAGGAGGCCCAGAAATAGACATCACGTCATCCCCTAGCCCCGCAGCACCAAGCGCCATTTGGTAGCATCAGAAGGACCCCACCATTACGATGCAGAATAGAACTCGCAGGGCTCACGGTGCCCCTCAGCCTCAGCATCCAGCTGACCGGCTTAAGGAGTGGCTTCCTTTTAGCTCCCCACCCCCGCACCTCTCTCCCTAGAGGCCGCTGCCTCCCCTGGCTGCCAGCCACACAGCCCACAGTCTCCAAACTGCCATCTTGATGCCCCATCCCCCTTGCCATCTCCCTCCCCCGCAGCCTGAGGACTAGGATGGGGAGGAAGGGGCACCGCCCTGCGTGCCCCAAGGGGGAGGGCTCGGCCTACTCCACCTCTCCTCCCCCAGAAGGAGGGGTGCGCATCCTCTGCAAACTCTCTGTTTCTCACCTCCAGCAGTGCTGACGGTGCACCATACGAGGTTTTAGCATCCTGGACCTGCCCTCCACCCACCACCAGCCTCCATGTCTCTAGCCTTCCCAGCCTCTGCAGCCCATAGTTTAAGTTCAGGCTCTGTCCACTGCCCACGACCCACCTCCACAGGCCCGATTCTAGCGGGGCTGGCACTTGAAGACCCTGGTCTGGGCTTCATTCCTTGTGCAGCCGCTGGCTTCCCCTAGCTTGACAACTCTTTCGATGACCGCAGGCTTAGTTGGACCGATTGTACTTACCAAAGCTAGGTCGGATATTGGTGATTTCGGCCATGTCGTAATCAGAGGCCCTTGCTGTAAAGGCTGTTGCAATGGTCAGACAACTCTGAGAACCCTGGATCAGAACCGAGGCCGCCGCTGTACCGCGCTAGGTCAGGGGAGCGGGGAGGTATCTGGCGGGTGCCCCCTGTGACGGTCTGGTCCCCGGTTGCCAGCTGCGGCTGCCTCTTCAGATGCTCCAGGGATGCTCTGAGCTAAGGATGCAGGTGCAGCCAGACTGGTCCTGATGCGAGGGAGGCCCCGCCTTCTCCCGAGCGGTCCTCGGCAGAAGACTCCGCCTCTGTCCGAAAAGTTCCGGAAGGCAGGACCCGCCCCTTTTCGGAAGATCTCTGGGAGGGGACCCCATCACCGGGATTTCCTGAGAACAAGACCCCGCCCACTGACGGGCTGTTGGTCTAAAGGAGAGAACCCCAAGGATAGAGTAAGAAATGTAGGTATGCTATCATGATTCCCAACCCCTGGGCTTAATACAGCAGCGGAATGTTCCGGCTGAGAGGGAGCCCAGGATTGTGGAAAAACAAAATTCCGTATGTCTGCATTTCAGTATCCGTTGCCATTATTGTTATGCATTTCTGAGCCCACTAAAGGTTATTATGGAAACTTTCTTAAACTTCAGGAACGCTAAAACTCTGACTAAAGGTCAAACCTCCTGATGGATGCACAACTCTGAACATTTACTTAGAACAATTTAATTATACAAGTAGAACGGATGAATTTTGTGGTGTGTAAATTAAAGCTGTTTTTATAAAAAAGACTAATGAAGCTCTAGCCGGTTTGGCTCAGTGGATAGAGCGTCAGTCTGCGGACTGAAGGGTCCTGGGTTCGATTCCGGTCAAGGGCACGTACCTGGGTTGCAGGCTCCAGGGCGAGTGCAGGAGGCAACCAATCTATGTTTCTCTCACATCGATATTTCTTTCTGTCTTTCCCTCTCTCTTCCACTCTCTTTAAAAAAAAAATCAATGGAAAATACCCTTATGTGAGGATTTAAAAAAAATGATGTTGAAAAACAAACAGATAAATAATAAAATAAATTAAAAATAAATAAATAAGACTAATGAAGAATGCCAAAATTAATCAGCGCTGCATATTTCTTTCTTTTTTTTAAAGAGAAACATCGATCAGCTACCTCCTGCCCATTCCCTACTGGGGATGTGCCCGCAACCAAGGTACATGCCCTTGACCGGATCTAACCTGGGATCCTTCAGTCTGAAGGCCTATGCTCTATCCACTGAGCCAAACCAGTTAGGGCCGTATTTCTTTTTTAAAGTGTCAAGTGATTAGGGCTGCTTAGGAGAGAGAGCATGTGCAAACCATCAGATGACCAGAGGCTCTGATATGTGAAACCCTGTGAGCAACAAAACTTTTCCAGGGAAGATACCCATATGCTACAGGTTGCAAAGCAAGCCACAAATGAAACTCCAAGCTTCTAGGGACTTCCTTGGCATTTGGGAGAGTTAGGGTGATTGAGGATATGAACTTCGCTCTTTATTTTGGCTGTGGATACTTTCATCGATTCTGTTTACAGACAGGATCAGGTTACATAGATTATTTAAATGCATAAAATATTTGTTGGTGGTTCACCTGCAAAATGACAGAGTTTAGTGTATTTTTCCAATTTTGACATTCCCTTCTTCTAGAAAAGTGGAAAGAACATGGCTCTAGGAGTCATTCATTTGTTCAAAACACAAGTATTGATATTGGACATTAACTATGCTTCCTGGACGTTGGGTCAATGCATTAGAAGCTAGAGTTAAGGATACCCGGTTCCCCTTGATAGCTGTGTACCTTTGTGAAATCACCTATCCAAACTGAGCCAGAAATTTGTTCCGTGTAAATTTGAAAGTATAATACCCACTGTTCCATAAGGTTTATTGGGGAGATCAAATCACCTATGGTAACGTAAGTGAAAGCATTTTGTAAAATGGCAGAGTATTATACAGCTATGAGTAGTAGTTACTATGGAGTGACTCCATGACTCACGAGTACAAATAACTGCCCTATTGGTAATCCAGGGATTCCTTTCTGAAAATTTCTGAATTCTCCACTTCCTTGGCCCCGTAGTTCAGGTGTGACGCGGCAAGAAGGATTCGTTGTCAAGTTAAACTAACGAATCACAATCCCAAGTTTTGTTTTGAGCAGCGCCTGGGTCCGAGTAAGAGAGATATTTCCTTAAAACTTTTTGCCCACACAGACGTGCTAGCCTTGCGGCTTCATCCCGCCCGTAAGTGGGACGGCGCCCAGTGATTGGAGCGCGCTCTTTGACGTCCTGACGCCGCGCACCGCGACTCGGGGGCGCGCACGTAAGTTGCTGCCGCCGGCTGACTTCCGGTGGCCCGGACTCCGAGTTTCCGCGGGATCTGTCGCTGTTGGGGGGACCGTGTCCCGTGCCGTGAGGCGGGAAGTGGCGAGTGGGAGCTGCACGTCCGGGCGCGGGATGTCCAGGCTGCGGGGGTCGGGTTTGAGGGCTGGCGCGGGGTGTGGGACAGAAGGTAGAGGTCCGAGGGGGTCTAGCCGGGCGCGGGGACTTGGGCCAGTGCTCGGCCCCTGGTAAAAAGCGCAGTCAGGCCCCCCTTTTGGAAAATATCCCCAAGAGGGGCTCGCGCGGGGGCTACCTTCGGATTTGCATTCGTTCACCCTGTTGGTCCCACTCCAGTTCCTAAAAGGTGAGCCGCTTTAGAATTGCTGTATTATTATAAGTGCCGGGAGCCGATCCCTGTCCGCTGCTGACTTTAAATGGTAGCTGGCTGTCTTTTCTTTCATTCTTAATTCTCTCTCCTCACCACCCCACCCCACACGCACTCCCA